GCAGTAAAAACTGTTTACTGCATTAAATCTTTACCCTTGAGTACATGATCTTCACTATGCTGTGTGAAGAAACAGGAAATAGTCGGGCATGGTGGTGCCCACCTTTAATCCCAGACATTCAGGAGGCTAAGGCAGGAGGATGGCAAACTTGAGACCAGCAACAGCAATTTAGTGAGACCCTGGGAGGTGGGGGTAAGGGTGTATAGCTCAATGGTCAAGTGTCCTTGAGTTAAATCCTCACTACTATCAAAAAATAAAAGAAACAGAGCATATGCATAAAAAGCACTTCTGCAACATACTGGAATATGAAAGCTGAATTGAGGGAAAACATTTGAGAGCAATTATTTTAGTTTTAAGCTGATTTTGCCACCCTTTTCCTCACACACTATTTTTACTTGAAAGAATGACTGACAAACTTTTGTTCAATAGATACACGTATTCTCAAGCATGTTCTCAAAAATGAAGTGAGCCTGTCCTTTTGAGGAAAACAACTGATGACTGCTGCCACTGATGCCAATGGTAATGTCTGAGCTTTCAAGCAAAAGTTGGAATTTTAGAAAATTTTCAACTCCCACAGTGAGCTTTCACAGTAACCAAATGTTCTTCTGATGAGCTGGTGATAATATCCATGAATGTAATTCTTTTTGATTGCATAATGAAGTCTGTCAACATCTGGAAGATATGCATAACTCAGCAAGCCATTATTTTCCAAAAAATAACCAATGTAAGATGTTATAAAATCATACATGATAAGATTTATTCCAATTGCAAAACAGAAAAATAAGATTTATTTTTAGTTATAGTTGCACACAATACCTTTATTTTGTTTTTATGTGGTGCTGAGGATCGAACCCAGCACCCGCACATGCTATGTGAGTGTTCTACTGCTGAGCCACAATCCCAGCCCCCATGACAAATAGATTTTAATACAACAGAATAGGAAAAGTTTCATTGATACTGCTATTAAAATGAAGGAATCCATCACTTACTGAGTTTTCCATATAGTATCAATAAAGAATATCCACAATTATCTGAAAAGATTATTAAGAGAGTACTCTCTTTTCCAACCATGTATCTGTCTGAGATTAAATTTTCTTCATATATTTAAACCAAAACAATATAACTACAGTAACTACAGAAAACATACATGAGAATTCATGTATTCTATCAAGTCAGATAGTAAAGAGATTGGCAAAAATGTGAAACAATAGTACTCTTCTTATTCATTTATTTTTGTTTTAGAAAATATAATTATTTTTAATAAAATATTATTTATGTTAACATGTAGTGGGGTACTATTTTTAAATAAATTAATATTTAAAATTTTTATTTTGATTTTTAACAGTGACTGTTGATAGATCTGACCTATATAAACAAAAATTATTTGAATCCTCAGTAATTTTTTAAACTTTTTTTTTTTTTGGAGCGGTACTGGGGATTGAACTCAGGGGCACTTTGACCACAGTGGTAGAGTGCCCCTGAGTTCAATCCCCAGCCCTATTTTGTATTTTCTTTAGAGACAGGGTCTCAATGAGTTGCTTTAGCACCTTGCTTTTATTGAAGCTGACTTTGAACTCATGATCCTCCTGCCTCAGCCTCCCAAGTTGCTGGGATTATAGGCATACACCACTGCGCCCAGCTGGTATGTAGCTTTTTAAAGATGTCTTTTGTCTGGTTTTGGTTAGCAGGATAGAATTTACCTTGTAAAATGAGTTGAAAATGTTTCCTACTATTCTAATTTTTGAAGTGACTTGGGAATAATTTTTAAATTAAAGAAATTTAAAATATTAGTACCTCCAACTAAAACATTTGCATAAAGGCTGCTGTTTTTATTTTTGTGACAGAGTTCACATTACATAAAATTTACTCTTTTTTTAAGCGAGCAATTCAGCATTTTTTAAGCATATTCACAAGACACAACCACTATTATCTAATTCTAGAACATTTTTATCAACCCAAAAGGAAACCTTGTACTCATTAGCATTTACTTTTTTTTTTTTTTGGTACCACGGATTGAACCCAGAAGTACTTTACCACTGAGCCACATCCCTAACAACTTTCTGTTTTTCATTTTGACATAGGAATTACTGAGGTTGGCTTTGAACTTGTGATCCTCTTGTCTCAGCTTCCTGCATGGTTGAGACTACAGGCATGTGCCACCATACCCCGGCAGCATTTTTCTCCTCTCCTACCCTTGCAACCATTTATCTACTTTCTATCTCTATGCACCTACTTATTCTGGACATTTAATGTGAATGGATTGTACAATGTGTCCCCTGTCTGGCTCTTTCACTTATGTTTTCAATGTTCCTCCATGCTATGGCATGTATCAGTACTTCATCTGTTTTCATAGCTAAATAAATGTGGCTGGATCACATTTTATCCATCTATTCTTGCATTAATGGACACCTGAATTGTTGCCATTTTTTGGCTATTTTGAAAAATGCTGTTATAAACATTGTGTGCAGTGCTTGCATAAATATGCTTTCAATTCTCTTAACACCTAAAAGTGGAATTGCTAACTGATAGAGTAATGGTTTAACTTTTTAAGGGCTTATCAAATTATTTTCAAAATGGCTACACCATTTTACACCCCAAGCTCCCCAAAACAAGTATGAGGGTTCCAATTTCTCTGCAACACTTGTTACTATCTTTTTAAAACTAACCATCCTATGTGGGGAAAAAGGCACACTCATACATTGCTGATGGGACTGCAAAATGGTGCAGCCTATATGGAAAGCTCGGAATGTAATGTAACCACCATTTGACCCAGCTATCTCACTCCTCGGTCTATACTCAGAGAACTTAAAAACAGCATACTACAGGGACACAGCTCCATCAATGTTTATAGCAGCACAATTCACAACAGCTAAACTATGGAACCAACCCAGATGTCCTTCAGTAGATGAATGGATAAAGAAAATATGCACAATGGAATATCACTCAGCAATAAAACAGAATAAAAATCATGGCATTTGAAGGTAAATGGATGAAGTTGGAGAATACAATGCTAAGTGAAGTTAGTCAATCCCCCAAAACCAAATGCCAAATGTGTTCTCTGATATAAGGAGGCTGATTCATAGTGGGGTTGGGAGGGAGAGCATGGGAGGATTAGACAAACTATCTAGGGCAAAGCGGTAGGAGGGGAAGGGAGGAGGCATGGGGTTAGAAATGATGGTGGAATGAGATGGATATCATTACCCTAAGTACATGTATGAAGACACGAATGGTGTGAATATACTTTGTATACAACCAGAGATAAAAAATTGTGCTCTATATGTGTAATATGAATTGTAATGCATTCTGCTGACATATATATAGCAAATTAGAATTTAAAAAGTGAAAACAAATAAATAAATAAATAAACTAGCTATCCTAGTGGCCATGAAATGGCACCTCCTTGTAGTTTTGTTTTGCAATTCCCTAATGACTAGTGATGTTAGTCTCCTCTCATATGCTTATTGACAGTCTTCCTTGGAAAAAATGTTCATTCAAATCTGTTGTCATTTTAAGATCAGATTATTTACATTTTTATTAAATCACTGACAAAGTCATGAAGTCATATTTTCTTTTGTTAATATATATTTTTTAGTTGTAGATGGACACAATACGTTTATTTATTTATCTTTATGTGGTGCTAAGGATCAAACCCAGGGCCTCACACATGCCAGGTGAGTGCTCTACCACTGAGCCACAACCCCAGCCCATGAAGTTATATTTTGTTCTATGAACTTAATACTTTTTGCTCTGACATTTATTTCCATGATATTTTTTTGTTGTTGATGATGTTGTGGGGGAATACTGGGAATTAAACCCAAGGGCTGAGCTATATCCCCAGCCCTTTTTAAAATATTTTATTTGGAGAAAGGGTCTCACCAAGTTGCCCAGGCTGGCTTCAAACTTGTGATCTTCCTACCTCAGTCTCCTAAGTCACTGGAACTACAAATGTATACCACCACTGCATGGCTATGTAATCCGTTTGAATTAGATTTGCATGTTGTGTGAAAAGAAGATCCCATGAACCCTTTAATTCTTTCCTTGGTTCTAAGTAAGTAACAACATTTCCCAATTAAGGCTAAGGAAATGAAAACAGGAAGTGAAAAGCCCTAAAGTTCTATAATGAACCAATAGGAATTTTTTAAATGCTTATATTTTTCATTCTTAAGGCTATTTCTTTGGGGGTAAAAATGGTAATCATCACTGATAGCTGACTTTTTAATAAGTAGGAGTTATGTTTTTTTAAAAGGTGCATTTGACTTATTAAATTTATAACTCTATTGATGGAGATGCAGCTTTGTGGTAGAGTGCTTGCCTAGCATCAGTGAAGTCCTGAGTTTGATCCCCAGTAGCAAAAAAGAAAAATAAATTTAGAACATGGTCTGAAATATTGAGTCCTGATTTTTAAAAAATATCTTTATTAATTTTTATGTGGTGCTGAGGATCAAACCCGGTGACTCACAAGTGTTCTACCACTGACCTACAGCCCCAGCTCCTTGAGTCCTGATTTAAAAAAAAAAAAAAAATTTAAGGCAAAGCAAGTCAATGAGGCCCTTTATCCAACTTGATTTTGATAAAACAAAATAAAAATATTTTGAGTTTCTGTCTCTAAAATGAACATTAAGAATTGATTTTGTTTCATCCATAAAAGTGCTAAGAATTATCTCCAATTTTTCTCATGTTCCCTAAAAGGCATGGATGCCAGAGAATACAAATTTATAATAGTGAGAACAGAAAAAGTAAATTCAAAATACAGTGATATTGGGACAGTAACTTCATTTTGGTACAAATGAAGGTCTCTATATCACATACCCACACACAAGCAGAGAATAAAATGGGATCAAGATAACTACCCTGAATAGAGTCCATAAATAGACATTTTACACAAGAGCCAAATGTTATGCAAATCTACAAGTTATAAAATGAATGCCCCTATTACATCCAGCAGGCTGGTCATGGTTTGAGGAAATTTCAAATGCTATGATATATAGGAGGATACTCACAGGAGAGAGTTTCTGAATAAGGTCATGGGCAACATGGACAAGGTTCTTGTCTTCATGGAGACATTTCTGAAACTTTTTGCTCTCCTCATCTTCTAGAAGATCAAAATCAATGGCAGCATCCAATAAGGCCTGAATTAACCCCTTCCAGGACTTTAAGGCTGGAACCTGAGGAGCAACTGCAGCACTTATGCCAGTTCCAATCACCAGCACAAGTTCCCGAGGTTTCTTAGTTTTTAAGCTTGGAAGCAGCTTCCTGAAATAGCAAAATATACAAGAGGACTGGTATCTGCAATAGATATGAGGCACAGGAAAGACTATCTGACTCCTAAATCTATAGTCAGTTATCACTATATAACAAGTTTTCAGCTCTAAGTTTTATAGTTGCAAAGATGCCAAATACATTTCTGACACTTAAATAAAAGACCAGAATACTGTGCCAATGCCTACTGAAAAATAAAGTGCTTAAGAAAAATAAACCTGCTTCAGTAATCCTAAAAAAAATCTTAAAAATGAATTTTCTCCTTCATAATTCTTTCAACTGAGAAGATCCACTAATATTAGGAAAAAGTCCAAATGTATTACAACTAACTTGTGTTCTGCCAATTAAATTATATTTTAAACTAGTATTACATTTCAGAAGAACATCTTTGATTTACATTCTACAGAGAAAAGATAACCCATACAAATTAAATTCCTATCATTGAGAAATGTTAAAACAGGAGATGAAAACCAATAAAAAACTGAATTATAAATTTTGTAAACATCATTAATATAAAACTGAGCATGAGCTAGATAGCCAAGTATGAGGACAAATTTGACCTCAGTTTTGTTTAGATATCCTTAGGCAAAAAAAGAAAGAAAAAAGAAAAAGGGTCAAGAGGGAAAGGGAAAGAAAAATAAAAGGAGATGACAAAAAATGAAAAACATTCCTTTCTTACCATGAGAAGCACACATTTCTGTTCCAAAGTACATGTGAGATAGCATGGGTATAAGTTTTTGTTTCTGTTTCTCATTCCCCTTTCATTCTAGAGACTGCCTTTCCCAACCATTTTTTACCGAATAGTAAAATGAATAGAAATAGGATCAGCATTTTAGTAAAACCCAAGAAAGAAAAAGTACTTTAAAAGTCTGGGAAATGTGGTTTGGGGGAAACAACCTCTCAAAGTTTTTTCCCTACCTCTAACTCCGGCATTCAGTCATTCAACACTTGGGAAAAACTTGTAAATACCAGACAATATGATAGGTATTAGTGATATACTTATGGACAAAACAAAATCTCTGATCTCAAAAAAAGTTTTTTTTCTACTAGAAAAGCCTGATAATAGATACTAGAGAGAGAGAGAGAGAGAGAGAGAGAGAGAGAGAGAGAGAGAGAGAGAGAGAGAATTATATACAAATCCATATACACATGTAGAGAAAACTTGGAGAAGGATTCACAAGAACAGCAAATAGTGACTAACTGGGGACTGGGGAGAAGCAGCAGCACTTTTGATGGCAGCAGATAGACATGAGCAGTAGGATGAAGTTAAGAAAATAATTCTATAGAAGAGGCCTGCTGTGCTGCCCATCCCCCCATGTTTGCTTGCTTGCTTTTTTCACTTTTTTTTATTGGTACATTATAGTTATACATAATGACCTGGTTTATTATTACATATTTGTACGTGCATATAATATAACAATAATTTGGCCACTCTCACTCCCCAGCTCTTTCCCTCTCACCCCTTGATCCCTTTCTTCTACTGATCTCCCTTTGACTTTCATCAAACTTTCTTCTAAAAAGAAATTAACCTAAGGCAATTCTGGCCCTGACCTAGTTCAAGTCAACAAGATGTTACATTCTTTGGCAAGCAACCTGTTATATGTAAAGCTATATTTCCCAAGAATCTTGATTGTAAGATCCTCCGTATTGTTAACAAATGTGGCTGGATAGGGGGGCACACTTGGGAGGCTGAGGCATAAGGACTGCAAGTTCAAAGTCAGCCTCAGAAACTTAGCAAGGTGAGACTCTGTCTCAAAATAAAAAAATAAAAAAACAAGAGCTGGGGATGTGACTCTGATTCAGTAACCTCGGGTCCAATCTCTGGTACCAGAAACAAAAAACAAAACAAAACAAAAAAACCCCAACAAACATCAAAAACATAAGTTACCTTGAAGAAGAAATTTTTTTTTTAAAAAAAATATTTTTTAGTTGTTGATGGACCTTTATTTTATTTATTTGTATGTGGTGCTGAGAATCGAACCCAGTGCCTCACGCATGCTAGGTAAGTGTGTTACCACTGAGCCACAACCCCAGTACCAAAGAGGGAATTTTTAATACACATCAAAGCCCACTGACCGAAAAATTTGGAAAAACAAATTCCAATTAGAACTCAGTGGTCTAGCATCATGTATTAGGCCCTGGGCTCAATCTTTAGTACTGGGAAGGAGGGGGGGAAATCAAGAAAAATAAAACAGAAGTCAAGACTCAATCCAAGAGGTCCAATATCTGAATAATAAGAGCTCTACAGAGGAAAAATTATGGAAAGTATCAAGTAAGTATCATAAGACAATTTCTTTAAAGTGAAGTTACTTATAGCTCAAAAGATCCTTCCAAGGTCTAGACTTATATAAAGGTATATCATGTGAAATTTGAGGTTGCTGAGATTATAATTTTTATAATTATAAAAAAGTGAAGAAAAAAGATGTCATGTAACACAAAGAACTGGGAACTAAAGAGTGATTATTTTGGCAGGAATATTTAGACATTAGCAGAAAATGAGTGATACTTTCAAAACTCTACGAAAACTCTCGAATTGTGGCTCAGTGGCAGAGTGCTTGCCTCGCACCTGTGAGGCACTGGGTTCGATCTTCAGCACCACATGAAAATAAATAAACAAAATAAAGATATTGTGTCCATGTATAACTAAAAAATATTTTTAAAAAACTCTCTTACCTGTCATACTGGCTGTATTGTCATACCAGCAAATAAATATAAACTATGATAAAGACATTTAATGCCTCCAAGAAATTGCCTCCTATGAATCCTTACTACAAAAGCTACACAAGAGTATGCTTCAACTAAATGAAGGAGTATATAAAAAAACAAGATATGAGATATAGGAAACAAGATCCAATATAGTAGAGATATAAAATGCTTGGAATGATGAGAAACAGAAATGGCCAATATCAGCACGCAGCAGGCCTGGAAAACAACTTTCCAGAGTGGAATAGACTCTAGAGGGAAGAATCCCTGAAATAAATTCAAACTAGCAAGTTACTGATGTCTTTTTTTTTTTTTTAACTTTTTTTATTTTTTAGGTGTAGGAGGACACAATATAATGCCTTTATTTTTATGTGGTGCTGAGGATCAAACCCGGGTCCCGCCCATGCTAGGTGAGCACTCTACCGCTGAGCCACAATCCCAGCCCTACTGATGTCTTTTAGCAAGTCTAGGATATTTACTCTTCTGTTATAATGTCTGAGGATAGATTGAAAGATACCCAGAAAACAAAGCAAACAAACAAAATGAGGCAATCTTTAACAACACAGAGGAAAACAAACAGGCAAGAAAGGAAATACTGTAACACATTAGTAGGCTCAGCTATGAATACTATTTATACAATCATAATAATGTAAATATTAAAAAATGGTTGAAACAAACACTGTTAATATAAGCACTCTGGGAGAATAAAGAGGATGCATGTGGGACAGCAATGTGAGGAAGAAATCAAGAGAGCAAATGGAATCATTACCTTCCATAACTGGAAAAAACTAAAATACTGTCAATGCACATATAATATTTAAATATATCAATGTCAGTATCACAAGAAACAAAAAATTTGGAAGTGATTATCTCTGTGGGGTAGGGCATTGTGAGCCCTATATATATTATTTTGATAAAAAAATCCAAAATAAAAATAAATTTAAAAAAATAAAAGTCAATACTGATTAGTGAAAACAACTGGAATACAGATAAGTTTATGATTTTTCTTTACCTCCCACTAATGGTTAATTCACTCTGTTCCTCTGATTCCCTTCTCTTGTTTACCTGGGCTTTTTCGTGGGGGGTGCGCCATCATTGAAGAATCCAAAAAGCTCGTCTATATCAGAGGCCTGGCTCCCTGTAGAAGCCATCCAGTTTCTAAAACAAATTAAATACCATATACCACAATTAGATCTGTAAAGAATACCATTTAAAATAGCACATAGATTCAATAGTTTTAATAAACTATATACACTTTACAGGTTTTTTGGGTGCCCCCTACTAATGAAAATCCAAAGCATTCCAAAGTTAAGGAATTAATTTGTCTAAATGAAGTTATCTTAAAATTATAGGACCTTGGTGCCCTACACTGTCGTCTTATTTCTTCTATTCCTGAAGGCCTCCTATGCAACCTGCCATCAAAAAAAAAACACAAACACCTCACAATGTCCCAACTCATGTTAATTATTGGCCTTCATTTTGTGGGGCTTAAGAAATACCTGATAGCCTTCCACATAAGACCAGTTTAGGGAATACTTAGAAGATAAAACACCCATAGATAAGTTCCCAATTATCCACTTACTCTCAGCTGAAGAAATCACTTGAGTCAAGATCGAACAACCAATACTAATTTGCTGACTATTAGAGATTCTTGGTCACCTACTGGACAACTGCATCCTCAAAGGCAGTGGACAGTCCCTAGTATTCTCATGTAGGGGACTTTGAAATCAGTCATTGTGATAAATGGTAAAGGTAATATAAAGGTAACAAAGATGAAAAATGGCCAATATGTTCAGGTACTGGAAAAACTAGCAAAAGTAAAAGGATTAAATGGATTAGCATGAGAACTACAAAGAACAGTTTTACCACTCAAAACTTTAGCAAACTTATTAAATCTAAGGAATTTTAAAAATGGCAATAACATTTTAAATGCACATTCCCAATACAGAAGACAAGGCATACAACCAGAATTTTGGGTATTTTATTACATTCCATTGTCAAAATTTAGAAAGAACAAAACTACTAATAATTACTGGAATTACTATTTCATTAGAAAGCTTTTTTCTTCATTAAAAAAAGTTTACTGAACCAATTCTTCTGGTAAACAGAAGGCTTGGTTCTTTACCCCATATTCTATCCCACATAAGGAAATTCTTCTTTAATATCTAAATCATCAGGGAAATAGAAATCATAAAAATCACAAGAGTTAGGAAGCAGATCACCTTCCATTTAAACCTTTGATTCTGACTGGTGAGAAAGCTGGGACTCAGGAGATGACAGATTACTGAAATCAGTAAACCTAGCCTTAACTCAGTCATTTGGTATACTTGCTAAAAGGATACTATAGATTCTAAAAAAGAAGTCTTACTTTTTAAAGAAGGACATTTCCTGATCAAAGACTAAAACCAATGAACCAGAATCTTCAGGGTATTCTTTAAATAGGAAACATCTAAATAAAACACAAATTTAATTTTTCTAGAATGCAACTATTTTAATATACATTGGGTACATATTAGGTACACCATCATGTCATTTTCCCTTCAAGTGTATCATTTACTATAGTATCAACAGCTTCCCAATGTGGTAATACTCATTCTGTTTTGTTTTTGGTTTTTTTTGGTATTAGGGATTGAACCTAGGAGCACTTATCCACCGAGCAACATCCTCAGCCCTTTTTTATTTTCCATTTTGAGACAGGGTCTCAATAAGTTGCTTTGGGATGTGCTAAATTGCTGAGGTTGACCTTGAGCTTGTGATCCTCCTGCCTAAGCTTCTTGACTTGTTGGGATTACAATGTACACCACCTCACCAATCCTTTCATGTATGTGGTTATTTCCTATTGTAATGTTCTAGATGAAGAACTTGTGATAGAAAAGTGGTTACTTCTTCCATATCAAGGACAACTCATGAGTTTGGGATACTATTTAGAAGATACAAGGAAAAGCATAATTGCTTATGCTCTTTCCATAAATATGGTTCTATAAAACTCTCATCTAAACAAATTAAAGGTGATCCAACATGGCGGCGGACGCGGAGAGATCAAGTCTCTAACCCCTTCAGCTGCACGGGCATAGGGAGAAGTAAACTGTCAAAATACTGTTCGCTCAGGACCACTAGGCACTGTTGAGCTGAAGGAGATCCCGGGCGAATAGTCTGCCTTTCTCAGAACACACCAAGCCCGGATTGGCTGCATTCTAGTTCTGGTTCACCTGCTTCTCGTGACTCAGCACTAATGATCCCACTGAAATAACTAGTCAGCCCACCTGAACTCACAGAGGTAAAAGCCAACTGAGCACGATAGCCAGACCCAGGGAATCAGGAGTGACGTGGGACTAGCGGCGCAGAACTCCCGGCTACCGCTCCCACCAGTGCTGACAACAGAGGTACCTTGCACCAGCTACCAGAGGAGTTGCTACCTGAGGGCAAACAAATTCGCTGGGGGTCCTCAGCCCCAAGCCCACAAACTTAGGGTCTAAGGGAGGCAAACAGAAAGGGTGTGCCCAGGCATCCATGATAACAGAGCTCCCAGGAGCAGCAGACCCGGCGTGTAGCCAGTATTGTGGTGAGCGTCACAGGTGAGCGGGGCCTGGCTTGAGGAACCACAAGAGAAGGTCCTAGACACTCAGGATTGGAGACCCGCACAATCTGGGAAGAAGAGCTGAGGCACAGTGATTGGTTCCCACCTATCAAGAAGAGAAGCCTGGCCCAGTGGGCATAACTCCACCTACTGGAAGAGAAGTTAATCGAGCTCTATGACTGCATTTATTATTATTATTTTTTAATGATTATTATTAGTATTTTATTTATTTATTTATTTTTAATTTTCACTTTTTGTTAAGTTGATGTTGTTGTTCTTTAACTTTCTTATTAATGGTTTCAATTTTTTAAATTCTTTTTATTCTATTATTATTACTATTATTTTTTAAACTTTAATTTCCATTTTATTATCATTATAATTTTTTTTGGTTTTAAATTTTCATTTTTTTTCTTTCTTTTCACTTTTTTCTTTTGTCTTTTCATTTTTTTTCAATTTTCTTATTCCCCCTTTCTTGAATTCTACCTGCCTACACTCATTCTCTTTAGTGACTTCTTCTCTTCCCTTCTAATATCTCTCCTCCCAAGCATCAAATAAATTTATAAGAGTAAACAGTAACTCAGCAGTCAAACAGAACAAGAAGTAACATGAGCATAAAAAAGCAAGGAAGAAAAGGAGTACAAACAATGCAGGACAGCCTAAATAGTCAGGAGGACCTAGAGTCATCAGAAAAATGGCCATATATAGAACTCAAGGAACCACCTTAGACAGATGGAAAGGAACCTTAAAGATCACATTGAAAATGAATTACATAAACAAATAAAAGAAGAAGTTAAGCATCTTTATCAGGAGATAGAGATTATAAAAAAATCAAACAATAATTCTAGAAATGAAGGAAACGATAAACCAAATTAAAAACTCAATTGAGAGTATCACTAACAGAGTGGAGCAAGTAGAAGCCAGAACGTCAGATAATGAAGACAAAATATATCATCTTGAAAAGAGTCTAGCCAACTCAGATAGGCTGGTAAAAAAATCATGAGAAAAACATCCAAGAGATTTGGGATAACATAAAAAAATCAAACCTACGACTCATCGGGATAGAAGGCACAAGATTCATACCAAGGGAATGAGTAACCTGCTGAATGAAATAATTACAGAAAACTTTCCAGAAATAAAAAAGGAAACAGATATACAAATTGAAGATGCATACAGGACACCGAGCACACAAAATCACAGTAGAACAATGCCAAGACACATTGTTATGAAGATATCCAATA